CCCCTGCGCGACCTTGTTTCTCTCGCTGCCCTCGCGCTTTCTCAGGCAACGGGCACTGCCCGCCAGCCCGGGGGTGGGCGGAGTTGCCCGGCCGAGGGTCCCTCCCTGTGGATCGGGCATGGGACTCGCGATCCCTGCTCCCTGCGAGCCGTGCGGCCCTGGGTGCGGGGCAGCGTGAGGGCGAGGAGGGAGAGAGAGGCGGCGGGGGCCCTCTGAGGAGGCCAGGCTTGGAGCTCCAGGCAGAGGGGTTCCTAACCGGGAGGGTCTGCAGGTGGGGCCCGGGGGCGGGTTCGGCCCCACCAGGATGGTGGGGGAGACAGAGCATCCACTCTCGGGTTCAGCTAAGCCCCTGGAAGGTGGGGTGTCACTTCCTGGGATGGGGGTGCCGAGTTAGGTAAGGAACGTCCAAGTGCTGTCGGGCCAGGTTGCATTGGAGGCAGTTTTAGCACAGACTGTCCGGGAGGCAGGGTGGGGGGTGGACACATGGGCCTCCAGTGGGTGGCGGGCGCTCTCTAAGGCCTGGCTGGAGAGAAGGGAGGCCCGGGGAGGGCTCGGGCCCAAGCTGGGGTTAAGAGGGTGGCCCAGCCCTAACCGGTTTGGCTCAGTAGATAGAGCATCTGCCTCCAGACGGAAGGATCCCAGGTTCGATTCCGGTCAAGGGCATGTACCTTGGTTGCGGGCACATCCTCAGTAGGGGGTGTGTAGAAGGCAGCTGATCGATGTTTCTCTCTCATCAATGTTTCTAATTCTCTATCCCTCTCCCTTCCTCTCTGTAAAAAATAAAAAAAATATATTAAAAAAAAAAAAGAGTGTGGCCCAGGGGTTGAGCATCAACCTATGAACAGGAGGTCTCGGTTCCATTTTCCGTCAGGGCACGTGCCGGGGTTGCGGGCTCGATCCCAGTAAGGGGCGTGCGGGAGGCAGCTGATCAATGATTCTCTCTCATCATCATTTCTCTCTCTCCCTCTCCCTTCCTCTCTGAAGTCAATAACAATATATTTGTTTAAGAAAAAGAGAGAGAGAGTGGCCCTGTCCTGGGCCCGCTCAGTCCCCCCGCAGGGTGCCCCAGGTCCTGCCAGCCTCTGCTGACTAGGCAACCCTTTGTCACAAGTGGGAACTGCTGAAGTCCAGGCCAAGGTCCCTCCGCCGGACACTCCCTGCCTCCACAGCACAGGCGCTGCCCTCTGCCCAGCCCAGCCCCATGCTCCCCGGGCACAGTCAGCAGCACCTGGCCCCACCCACTCAGGACCCTCCCGCAGGAGGTGGAGGAGGAGCTGCGGCTCCTGGCGGTGGCAGGGGGTGGGACGGGACAGGTGGGAACCTGGGCCTGTGTTGGGTGGGTGGAGGAGTTTAGATGGAGACCAGCAGGCCTGAGGTCAGACCACGGGTTGGGCCTAGCCAGTCGAGAGCCTTCTGGGTCCAGGGAGGGATCTCCTCCCCACCATGCAAGTCCCTGGGTGTCAGACCCAGGAGCTGGAGGGAGGCCACGGGGTCCTCCTGCTGGCCCAGCCCCCCCTGCACCACCCCAGGCCCTGAGCTGGCTGAGCCGCAGGTGCAGGTGCTCAGGTGCAGGTGCTCGTGGTGGGGAAGCCCTGCGGCTCCAGGAGCTCAGGAGCCGGCCTCTTCCCGCCACGGGACTCGTTAAGTCCTTTCTGTCTCTAAGGAAGAGGATGGAGGAGGAAGCCAGGCGGCAGCAACACCGTGGGGAGGCCAGTGTGTGCGCGCACCTGTGCCCACGGTGTGCACCTTCTGTACACCTGGGGGCGCAGGATGCCTGGGGGGCTCACACGCCCGGGCAGGGGGAGCAGACGCCGAGTCCAGGCCCCCTACATGGGCACCACCTTTGGTCTATGTCTCCGCACGTGACCCGTCCAGGTTGGCGTGGTTAGGTGTGCCGCAGCTCCAGGTGGGCGAGCCTGTGAAGGCTCGGTCCCGTGTGGCCTCTGGGTGCTGCTGGGCCTCCTGCTCCCTTGCTTGGTGACACCCTCCTTTCGGGGACACACCCGGGCCACAGAGATGCCCAGGTGTGCCACGGCCGGTCACTGGGAGGCAGGGAGCGTCTATCTGCCCGGCCCTGGGAGCAGGTGTGAGGTCAGAGGGGCGGGTGGTTGGGTGGGGGCCGGCTGAAGGCCCGGGAGTCGGAGTGCTCTGGCCCGGCAGCCAGGGTGAGGGTCCGCAGTGGGGAGTCACCCCCGCCGGCCCCCCTGATGGAGGAAGAGGTTCTGAAACCACCCCCAGCCCATGCCCAGATCTGGGGGAGGTGAGTTCTCGAGGCATTGGCCAGCCCTACCCCCAGACAGACCGAGAATGCATTCAGGGATGGGGCCCCAAAGGAGTTGCACACTGTTGGGGGTGGGAGGGGCGCTAGAGAGGAAACAGAAAGTGGCCCCTACAGGTGCACCGTCTTCCGCCCTGTTCAGGCACCTGTGCCCTATGGCGCCCACCTGTGGCAGGACGGGGTCCTGAGGTGCTGGTGCTCAGAATGCAAAGGCTGAGAGTGGAGTCTCGGGGTCCACCTGGAGCCCTGGGGGTGCTGCTGCCCCTGAGCTCCCGTTCCCCAGGCGGCCCTGTGGGTTGTGTGCACTTTGTATACCTGAGCCCTTTGGTGCCTGGCCTTTCGTTTACCAGTGGTTCTCAACCTTCCTAACGCCGCGACCCTTTAATACAGGTCCTCATGTTGTGGGGACCCCCAACCATAAAATTATTTTCGTTGCTACTTCATCACTGTCATGTTGCTACTGTTATGAATCGTCATGTAAATATCTGATATGCAAGATGTATTTTCATTGTTACACATTGAACATAATTAAAGCATAGCGATGAATCACAAAAACAGTATGTAATTACATATGTGTTTTCCGATGGTCTTAGGCGACCCCTGTGAAAGGGTCGTTCGACCCCCAAAGGGTCGCGACCCACAGGTTGAGAACCGCTGGTTTAGACCCTAAAAGTAGTTCTGTGGAGCCGGCCAGTGTGGCTCGGTGGCTGAGTGTTTACCCAGGAACCAAGAGGTCGCTGGTTTGATTCCCGGTCAGGGCACGTGCGGGTTGTGGGCTCGGTCCCCAGCAGGGGGCGTGCGGGAGGCAGCCGAGCGGCAGAGCCCACCAAGGGCCCAGGTCTCAGCTCTGGGATTCTGACCTCCCGGGAGGAGCCGCCAGGGGCTGAGCGAGTGGGAACTGAAGGGAAGCAAACAGGAGGCCTTACAACACGATGTCACGCTCCAGGCGCGGGCAGGGCAGCGCGGCCTTGCGGGAGGGCCCGCTTCCTGAGCTGCACCCTCAGACCTGCTGGTGGAGGAGACAGCACCATCTCCACCCTCCTCCACACACCAAACCTGCGTCCAGTGGGCTGCACGCCTCAGGGCGAGCAGACGCCAAGAAAATCCAAGAGAACGAGGGAGAAAGACCTCCCGCCAACCTCCAGAGCTCACGGGCCCAACGCGGCGCCTGATAAACTCCGTGTCAGCATTTCGCCTTCAGGACACGGGGAGCTGCGAGCCGGCCAGGGAGCGGCGGTGTTTGCAGTGCGCCTCAGGCTCATACACATCGAGAGGCCCAACAAGTAAGGGAGACCAGGCCCTTCCACCCAAGGCAAAGGCACAATCACAGCCAAACCCAGCCGACCCAGAACCGCTGAAAGGGGCGTGTCAGGCGGCGCGAGGGCGAGACCGCAGAGCGGAGAGCTCGGCTGTCCCTGCGCCGGGCAGGAGCCAAGGGCTTCACCCCGCGGTGTCGCCAGGGCGAGGGCAGCGGCGCCCGCGTGGCTGATCCCGGGCAGGAGGCGGGCGGCAGCATCAGGCACAGCTCCGGCAGGCGTGACGCGTGGAGCAGGGTCTTGAGCAGACACGCGCCGTGGCCACAGCAGCAGTCACGGCGGTGGGAAGGCGGGGGCAGCCCGAGTGTCCGTGGACGGAGGGTGGACACAGTGCGGCCACCCCCACGACGGGGGCTGCGCAGCCTTAAAAGGGAGCGAACCCGCACCTGCTGCGACGCGGAGAGACCCTGACGGCGCATGTGCAACGAGGCCGTCACGCAGGGCGCGTTCCGTGTGACCCCACGTGAGGTCCTGAAGGGTCAGAGCCACAGAGGCAGAAAGTAGGATGGTGCATGGGGGGCAGGGGCGGGGCGTTTGGGGGGAGAGGGTCTGTTTGGTAAAATGAAGAGAGTCCTGCAGCCCAGCCGGTGTGGCCGGTGGCTGAGCGTCGACCTGTGAACCCTGAGATCAGGGTTTGATCCCCGGTCGGGGCACCTGCCTGGGCTGCAGGCTGGGTCCCCAGTGTGGGGCGTGCAGGAGGCAGCCGATCCATGCTTCTCTCTCATCATTGATGTTTCTCTCTCTCCCTCTCCCTGC